GACAATTTACTTTGTGTATAAATAGAATAGTAGTAGCTGTCATATTTTAATAATCAATCTTTTCTTACAGCTTTTATAGTCGTCATTGCAGGGCAATAAATATATCCTCTCATTATTTCTGTCTTTATCACCTTGTGCACTAACAATTGATATTTAAAGCTCTGGTTTGGATCCATATGGAAACACGAGTGAAACGGTGAGGCGTTGTGTGATTGCTTTCGTTTATTGAATTCGTGTTGAATCTTGAACGAAATCGTAACAAAATCACATTTTCTGATTTTGCAGGATTGGGAAACATTGTTTTTGGTGAGATTTGAGTGACTTGAACAAGGTTGAAGATGAACGGAAATGGTAGTCTGAGCACCAAACTTCCAGTGTTCGATGGTAAGAACTGAAATCGTTGGATGATTCAGATGCATGTGTTGTTTGGCGCTCAAGATGTTCTTGATTCGCCAATGATGGTTATGTTTCGGTTCAATTCCATAAAATGCAACTGATGCACAGAGAAATGCTCTGTGTGATCTGAGGAAGAAAGATCAAAAGATGTTGTTCTACATCCATCAGTGTGTATATGTGAATGTGTTTGAGAAAATCACTGATTCGACAACTGTAAAGGCTGCATGGAACACACTGGTTAGGTGTTACGATGGTGACGTATCAGTGAAGAAGGTGAAGCTTCAGTATTTACGAAAGCAGTATGAGAATCTCAACATGAAGGATAATGAGAAGGTATCTGAGTACATCTCCATAATGATTTTGATCACTAATGAGATGAAAGCTTGTGGAGAAACCCTTTTTGAACAAGTAATCATTGAGAAGATGTTGAGGTCTCTTACCCCTCAACTTAATTACATTGTTATAGCAATTGAACATTTTAAAGATCTGGACACCATGAGAATAGAAGAGTTACAAAGCAGTCTAGAGGCACAAGAGTTGCGTCTGAATAAGAGAACCTCTGAGAGAGAGGTAGAGCGGGCTCTGAAAGCTTCTTTTTTCAAGAAGGACCAGAAGTAGAAAAACATGGTAGGTCTCAGAAGTCTCATACTCTGATGAGAAGAAACATCAGAAGGGAAAGGAGAAGTATTATAAGAGAATGGTTTAGTGTTACTGTTGTAATAGGTTTAGCTACTTTGCTAAAGATTGTTGGTCAAACAAAGAAAAAGAAAAAAAACACAGAGAGGAGATTCAGATGATGAACCTGTGCTATTAATGGCTTATGAATCTGATGAGGAAACTGTGCGATTATCATTTTATGGTTCTGAAGGGGAAAAAGAAGATGAGTCTGAATATTCTGAATGAGTGTTTGAATATGAGTCAGAATCAGAAAATGACTCTGAATCAGAAGTCGAGTTTGTTTCTGAATATGAGTCTGAGTCAAAAGATCACTTTGAAGCTGAAGACAAGTCAGAATTCGAAGGTGATTTTGGGTCTGAAGAAGAATAAGAATATGTGTCAGAATATGAAGAAGATTCTGCTTCTGAAGATTAATCAGAACCTGAAGGTTCTGAAGATGAGTCAGAACTTAAAAGTTCTGAAGATGAGTCAGATTCAGAAGATGAAGAATCTTTTGGAGACTCTGAAAATGAGTCAGATGGTGAATCTTATTTTGATCCAGATTTTGACGATGATCAAGAATCTAGTAGTGATCATGCTTCTAGAAAAGAAAACTCTGAAGACGTAGGTTCTGGAGGACAAGCTTCTGGAGATGATCATGTTTTTGGTGGAAATTATGTCTCTGAAGGTGGACCTTCTGAAGGAGAGCTTCTAAAGGTAGTCCAACCTCTAACAGTGGTCATGTTTATGTAGGAAAAACTTTTGAAAGCGATCCGACTTTTGAAGGCGATACTTCTGAAGGTAGTGGTTCTGGAAAAGGTTCAGAAGTTAACAAAGGTGGAGCTTCTGGTGGTCGTCGGACTACTGAAGAAATTCCATAAGGAAATACGGTTCTAGAATCAGAAGAAGATCCTGAACAAGTCTAGAGGCCTCGAAGAATCAAACAAATACCAAGGAGATTTGCAAAGTTTGACATGCTGGAAGATACTGAAGAGACTTTGAGGGTTGATAAAATAAGTACTTCTAGATATGTTTTCAAGTATGTGAAAGTCTCATTTCTTGCTGCTCCGAGAAGCAACCGGTGGTTGCGTTGTCAACCTATGAAGCTGTCAAGACTGAACACTTTATCCATTTGAGGGATGAAGTTGGTGTTGTAGATTTTAGTTAGTTGAATATGAATTAAGAGATGGTGTTGAAAGTAATTCATATTCGAAAGTTGTTGTTAGAATAAGAAGCATCTGATGTTATTACTCAAAAGCAGTATTTCTCAGAAGTAGTAGAGTTTCTGAGACTACTTAGTTAAAAGTAGTAGTTTGATATATTCAGAAGTTGTTATTAGTCTGAAGCAGAAGCTTCTGAGGTTACGCCCATAACTATGTTTAGTTTTTGTGATTCTAATTGTTTTGTTAGCTTAACTATTAAGTTAGCTTAATCTTTAAGTTTATCTTTTGTTAGGGCCTATGTGACAATTTACTTTGTGTATAAATAAAATAGTGATAACTGTTATATTTTAATAATCCATCTTTTCTTACAATTTTTATAGTCGTCATTACACAAAAATAAATATATTCTCTTATTCTTTCTGTTCTTTTATTACCTTGTACATTAACAGTGTCATATCTTAACTCTCATCAAAATCGACTTCACTAAACTAATTTAAAGGTCATGATGTGTATTAGAAGTTAGTTATAAAATATGAGAATACTGACAAATTTTTAAACTATACCTTTAAATTTGAATTTGTATAGTTTTTTAACAATTATTATTTATATTATACTATAATAACATTAATAGATGATTAATAGATGATTTGAGTTTTAAAGTGGACAACAAAAATATCATTTTAAGTTTAGCGATGAAGGTAATCTTTTCACTATTTATATTAAAAAAATTTAAGTTAAATATTTTTATTTTTATTTTTATTTTTCAATATAAATAAATTGTTGATCAATGGTGTTAGTTTCTCACTCACATCTTGAAGATGCTCATTAGAATTGTTGAGTGCATATTTGTTGTATTTGATTTTTGTAGTATTTGGTTGTCGTTTTGTTTTAAGAGGCTTAAGTGTGTATTTTAGCACACATTTGTGGTGTTTTAAAACAATTTCATATTTTTAAAAAATACATGTAATTTTTGTTTGGAGGATTCTAGGATGGAGAATTGATATTTTTACTTCCGAAAGGCCTAGAGAAAATGCGTTTATGGACGTGACTCAAACTATATAAAAACAATGAAATTTTTATTATTTTGATGATTAAATATTTAGATTTTTTATTTTTAAAGATATAAATTATATGATTAATTTATTTTGAATGTTATTATTTTATTTAATGATTAGTTGTTGAAGTTATGGATAAATAAAATGGAAAAAAATCAAAAACACATAATCACATTTTTTTAGTTGTTGAAAGAAAATTTACTGTTAATGAGATGGAGAAATCCGTTCTCTACTAGAGAACAGAGAAAAGTGTTCGATTTTCATCTCCAATTGAGTTTGAAGACAAGGGTGATGATGGTGCACATAGACGAAATAGAGTTGATAATACTGAAAATTATGTTGTGAATTGATGTCAAGTGGGTATACAAAGTGAAAAAGAATTCGAAAGGGGAAGTAACTCGACACAAAGTAAGACTTGTGGCGAAAGGATTTCTACAGAAAGAAAGAATAGACTTCGATGAGGTTTTTGCACCTGTTGCTAGTATCGAAATAATCAGGTTGGTTGTTGGTCTAGCAGAAATAAACAGTTGGCACATATGTCAGATGGACGTGAAGTGTGCATTCCTAAATGGACCCTTAGACGAAGAAGTCTATGTTAAATAACCAGTTGAGTTTGTGAAACATGACGAAGAAAGAAAGGTGTACATGTTGCATAAAGCCCTGTATGGATTGAAACAAGCTCCAAGGGCTTGGAATAAGAAAAATTGATAGTTTCCTAAGGGAGAAGGAATTTGTGAAGTGCACAACTGAATATGGAGTATATGTAAGAAGAAACAATAGTGAATTGCTTATACTATGTCTCTATGTAGATGATTTGTTGATAACAGGTAACTGCAAGAGTGAGATCGAAGACTTCAAAGGTGATCTCAGCAAGGAATTCGAAATGTCCGATCTGGGTGAGATTTCATATTTCCTTGAAATCGAATTCTACAAGAGCGGTAGAGGTTTAATGATACATCAAAGAAGATATACAGGAGAAATTCTCAAGAGGTTTGAGATGGAAGAATGCAACCCAACTTCAACAGCTGCAGAACCAAGACTACAACTGTCGAAAGATGCAGATGAAGATGATGTTGGTCTAACCCAATACAGAAGACTTATTGGATCATTGAGATACCTTTGTCATATAAGGCCTGACTTAGCATGTAGTGTAGGTATGGTAAGTAGATTCATGCAGAAGCCAAAGGTATCGCATCTAGCAGCAGTGAAGAGGATACTAAGGTATCTCAAAGGAACTTTCGATTATGGTGTTTTGTTTCCTGCAGCTGATAAAGGAAAAGAATGCAAGTTAGTGAGATACACTTATTCGAGTTGGTGTAGTGATGCTGAAGATCGAAAGTCAATAGTAGGATATGTGTTTATGCTAGGTGGTGCACCAGTTGCTTGGAATTCAAGAAAGGAACCAGTAGTGGCATTATCATCAAGAGAAATTATAGGAATATTTTTGATATAGATTAATTATAGGAGATTTCAGTTTTATTATAGAATTATTACAGTGTTATTATAGGAGATTTACATACCTAAATAAGCTAATGCTGAATTGTATATATCCCAATAATTGTATCCTTGTAAAGACACGAAATATGGAATACAGAATTTTCCAATTCCACTTTCTTCTATTCTGCTAATATGGTATCAGAACATAGGTCATAGATCCTCATTTTTTCCCTCTGTTTTCTGCAACATCTTCAGTTCTCCATTATCCTGTTCATTTGTTCATCTCTGTATTATGGAGAAAACTGATATTTTTAAACCCATTACAACCACCTTGACCGGACCAAACTACAATCTCTGGGTCCAAGGAATGAAGAGTTTTCTGACCGGACGCAAGCTTTGGCGCATAGTCATCGGAGATGTCGTCAAGCCAACTCAAGACAAAGATGAATCTGTTGCAAAATTTGCGGACCGCCTTAAAGATTGGGATAGTAAAAATCACCAGATCATTACGTGGCTGCGCAACACGTCTGTACCGTCTATTCACATTCAGTTTCATAACTACGATTCTGCAAAAGAAATTTGGGATTTCTTGAAAAACCGCTATCAAACCACTGGCCTTTCACATTATTATCAATTATGGACCACACTTCACAATACCAAGCAAGAACCTGGTCAATCGGTGAATGATTTTCTCGCTCAAGTCCAACCAATTTGGCATCAAATATCACTTGCCAAAATCAGTGAAGACCACCTTCATCTCATTCAAGTCCTTATGGCTCTTCGGCCCGAATATGAAGTCGTACAACCCTCACTACTGCATCGAAATCCGCTTCCATCATTGGACACTGCTATTCAAGAAATCATTTTTGAAGAAACGCGTCTAAATCTAGACAAAACTCCTCAAATGGATGTTGCTCTTGCAACTACTCGATTCTCACATCAAAAATCGAATCATCATCCATGTAAGAATTGCAATCGCACTGGTCATATATTTGCTAACTGTCCTAATATAGAGTGTAGGTACTGCCATGGTATCGGTCACATTCTTGAACATTGTCCCATGCGACCTCCAAAACAAAATCGTGGCTTCACCAAATCCAAGAATGTTCCAACGTCTAGATCTTCCTCCATATCTGCTGCTGCCACTGAAGGTTCGACGACCATCACTATGAGTGACATTGAAGCTTTAATCAAACAGGTTATGTCTTCCAACAACTCTACTGCCATGTCTTCTATTCACGGTAATTCTCATTGGTTTTTTGATTCTGCATGTAGTAATCATATGACCACAAATATTAAATCATTACCTGCTGCGACACTTGTTTCATCTTTGCCACCAATCCACACAGCCAGTGGCAATACAATGAACATCACTCATATCGGTCATGTATCCACCTTAAAAATCTCACCCTTCCTGACACATATTACATTCCTAACTTGAAACTTAATCTTGTTTCCATTGGTCAATTGTGTGAACAAGGACTGAATGTTTATTTTTCTCCTTCTGGTGTTCAGGTACAGGATCCGCAGACGAAGCAGATCATTGGGACGGGTCGCAGGATGGGTCGGCTATTTGAGCTACAATCTCTTCACCTTCCTAAAGATCATAATTCTGCTGCTACTATAAATTCTCCAATTCATCAATGGCATCTTCGTCTTGGTCACGCCCCAGCAAGCAAAATTCAACCTCTAATATCTCGTGGGTTATTAGGATCCACAAAGGTTGAGCCTTTTGATTGTTTACATTGTAAACTTGCTAAACAGCCTGCATTATCATTCAATCGTAGTTTTTTTAGTTCAAATAGTCCTTTTTATTTGATTCATTCGGATATTTGGGGGCCTTCTCCTGTTTCTTCAATAAATGGTCATCGTTATTTTGTATTGTTTATTGACGATTTTTCTCGTTTTACATGGATATATTTTTTGAAAAATCGCTCTGAATTACCTCAAATTTATATTTCCTTTGCTCGTATGGTTAAAACACAATTTTCTTGTGCTATTAAGATTCTTCACACAGACAATGCGATGGAATACCGTGAATCTTCCTTGCTTCAGTTTCTCAGTCAGCAAGGCACCGTGGTTCAACATTCATGCCCTCACACCTCCCAACAAAATGGTCGGGATGAACGAAAACACCATCACATCCTTGACTCAGTTCGTGCTCTTCTCCTCTCAGCCTTGTGTTCAGAGAAGTTTTAGGGGGAAGCAACACTTAATGTTGTCTATACAATTAATTGACTTCCCGCCATAAATCTTCAAAACTTATCTCCTTTTGAAAAACTATTTGGTAAGTCTCCTGAATATTCCATTCTTAAACCTTTTGGATGTGCTTGTTTTGTTCTCTTGCAACCTCATGAGCACACAAAATTACAACCACGTACTCGCTTGTGTTGCTTTCTTGGCTATGGCACATAACACAAAGGATATCGCTGTTGGGATCCAATCTCTAACAGATTACGCATCTCACGTCATGTTACCTTTTGGGAAAACACCATGTTCTCCTCTCTTTCTACATTTCATCATTCTCTTGACACCGACTCATTTTATTTCACTGATCCCTCAGTTGAGTTGTTTCCAAGTTCTAATGCAGATAACTCTAATAACCTCAATACTCCTCTTCCCTCACCTGCTCCTAATGAACTTGTTCCAGATGTTGAGCTCAATACTCGTCCGCCCTCAACTGCTCCTACTGAATCTGTTCCGGATGTTGATATTGTACCTGCATCTCGCCATTCCACCCGAGTAAGTAATCCACCTACTCATCTTAATGATTACCATTGCTACTCTATTATTAAAACTCTTCATGAGCCTTGTTCTTATCGAGAGGCAAGTACTAACCCCATTTGGCAGCAAGCTATGGCTGAAGAAATCCAAGCTTTAGAAAAGACAAATACTTGGGAATTAGTTGATCTTCCTGCAAAAAAGATTCCTATTGGATGCAAATGGATCTACAAAATTAAAACCCGCTCTGATGGAACTGTAGAACGTTATAAAGCTCGCCTAGTAGCCAAAGGGTACACTCAAGAGTATGGTATAGACTATGAAGAGACATTTGCTCCGGTAGCTCGAATAACATCTATTCGTAGCCTCTTGGCCATTGCTGCAGTTCGTAAATGGAAGATTTTTCAGATGGATGTCAAAAATGCCTTCCTTCACGGTGAATTGACAGAGGAAGTATATATGCACCCTCCTCCAGGATATCATTCTCCTCATAAGGTATGTAAACTTCAGAAAGCCTTATATGGGTTGAAACAAGCTCCTAGAGCCTGGTTTTCCAAGTTCAGTTCTACTCTAACACAATTTGGTTTTCTCTCTAGTCCACATGATTCTGCTCTATTCACTCGACGAAGTGATAGTGGTATTGTAATTCTTCTTCTTTATGTAGATGATATGATCATAACCGGAGATGACAAGACTGACATCTCAGCTTTACAACAATATCTCAGTCAACATTTTGAAATGAAAGACCTTGGTTCCCTTAGTTATTTTTTGGGGCTTGAAGTTTCCCAAGACTCAGAAGGCTATTATCTTTCCCAGGCCAAGTATGCTTCTGACCTGCTTTCTCGAGCAGGCATCACAGACTGCAAGACTGAATTGACACCATTGGAAGTCAACTCCAAACTCACACCACTTGACGGCACACCTCTTGAAGATGCCACCTTGTATCGACAACTTGTTGGTAGTCTTGTTTACTTAACTGTCACTCGCCCTGATATTGCATATGTTGTTCATAAAGTCAGTCAATTTATGGCTGCCCCTCGATCATCTCATTTCTCTGCAGTTCTACGTATCATTCGCTATGTTAAAGGTACAATTTTTCATGGTTTACGCTTCTCTGCTAATTCATCCTTGGTCCTATCTGGATACTCTGATGCGGATTGGGTAGGTGACCCTACTGATCGTCGCTCAACAACAGGTTATTGTTTCTTCATAGGAAATTCTCTTCTTTCCTGGCGTAGAAAAAAGAAAACAGTTGTTGCCCGATCAAGCACATAATCTGAATATCGCACTCTTGCTGATGCTACGGCTGAGTTACTTTGGTTACGATGGTTGTTAAATGATATGGGCATTACACAATCTTCTGCTACTATGTTTCATTGTGATAATAGAAGTGCTATCCAGATTTCCTATAATGATGTTTTTCATGAGCGCACGAAACACATTGAAATTGATTGTCACCTTGTACGCCATCATGTTACTAATGGCACCATACAGTTGATTTCTATTCCTTCTGAGGACCAACCGGCTGATACCTTCACCAAACCACATGATCCGATGCGCTTCAAATATTTATTAAGCAAACTCCAGTTGGCATCCACCATACCAACTAGAGTTTGAGGGAGGGTGTTAAGAGAAATTATAGAGATATTTTTTATATAGATTAGTTATAAGAGATTTCAGTTTTATTATAGAGTTATTACAGTGTTATTATAGGAGATTTACATACTTAAATAAGCTAATGCTGAATTATATATATCCCAATAATTATATCCTTGTAAAGACACAAAATATAATACAGAATTTTCCAATTCCACTTTCTGCTATTCTGCTAATAATCATCATGCGGAGCAAAATACATAGCTGCTTCTCTTTGTGCATGTCAAGCAACTTGGATGATAAACTTGGTCGAAGAGATAACAGAGAAAGATCATGGAGAAATTACCATGAAGATAGACAACATGTCAGCTATTAATCTGACAAAGAATCCAATAGCACATGGTCGAAGCAAGCACGTCGAAATGAGGTTCCATTATCTTCGAGAGCAGGTAGCAGATGGAAAGATGAATTTGGAACACTGCAGAACTGAGAATCAGATTGCAGATATCATGACGAAGAAAGTGCAAGTCGAAGTATTCAAAAGACTAAGAGTCGTGATGAACATTGATAGTTTAGACACAATGAATTAGATGGTGTGTTAAATTATAATTCATAGTGTCAAAAATATTAGATTTGTTTAGATTTAAATAGATTTGATTTAAATCTAGAATATATTAGATTTGATTTAGTAACAAAATAGATATTTTGGACTTTGGGCTTAGAGTGTAAGCTCAGTTATAAATAGAGAGAGTAACCCCTATTTTTGTAAGCAAATCAAGCAAGTCATTCACATTATTTTGCAGTTGCAAAATGAATAGTAAAGTTTTCACAATTAGTAAGCAGAGAGAAACTCTGCAGAAATTATTTGTCTTGTATTCATTCTTTGTTTGTCTCATAATTAAATTGTCATTATGGTAGAAATTCATCATAGACTTTAGTGAGTTTCTAACATATTATACTATAATAACATTAATAGATGATTAATAAATAATTTGAGTTTTAAAGTGGACAACAAAATTATTATTTTACTCACTAAAATGGAATTTAGCGATGAAGGTAATCTTTTCTCTATTTATATTAAAAAAATTAAGTTAGATATTTATATTTTAACTTTTATTTTTTAATATAAATAAATTGTTGATCAATGGTGTTATCTCAGTTTCTCACTCATATCTTGAAGATGCTCATTAGAATTGTTGAGTGCAAATTTGTTGTATTTGATTTTTGTAGTATTTGGTTGTCGTTTTGTTTTAAGAGGCTTAAGTGTGTATTTTAGCACACATTTGTGGTGTTTTAAAACAATTTCATATTTTAAAAAAATACATGTGATTTTTGTTTGGAGGATTCTAGGATGGAGAATTGATATTTTTACTTCCGAAAGGCTTAGAGAAAATGTGTTTATGGATGTGACTCAAACTATATAAAAAAATGAAACCTTTATTATTTTGATGATTAAATATTTAGATTTTTCATTTTTAAAGATATAAATTATATGATTAATTTATTTTGAATGTTATTATTTTATTTAAATGATTATTTGTTGAAGTTGTGAAGAAATAAAATGAAAAAAAATAAAAAAAATATATTTTTTAGTTGTTGAAAGAAAGTTTACTGTTTATGAGATGGAGAAATCCGTTTTCTATTAGAGAACGAAGAAAGGTGTTCAATTTTCATCTCCGATTGAGTTTGAAGACAGTGGTGAGAGTGGTTCTACTATATTTAATTGTGGATAACTCATTTGTATAACTTATCGCCCTATGATTTCATCTTAAAATATGATCTATTAATGTCTTTCTAAATTTATCACTTCTAATAATGTTTTATATTTTTCTTTCAATGATTCTTATTGTCACACCTGAAATTTCGATCAGCTTCTAGTTTCAATTAAAGGGGAAAATCAACAATCAAATTAAGCATTGCAATATAGTAACAAAATTAAAAATAGGTGTGTTTTTAAACATAATTGATTTGCTACTATCTTTGACACTTTCACAAAACATTTTGTCACAACATTGCCTTAAGTTTTTTCAACAGATCTGTAACTTATTCAAATTAATCACATAAAAACCACAAGATATTACATGTTCACCCTCATGTGGAAGAAAAAATAGTTTAATAAATATACATGTTATCTTCATTGATGGTTCTCTTTGGAAATTTTGTTTAATTCAACAATGGATGGATTCTTAAATGCTGATTTTTTTAACAGAACTTCAAAAGGTTAGATTATGTTTAAGATTTCATCTTTAATTAAATTGTTTGCAGATTCTCTTTTTTATCTTTAATTAAATGCTAAATTCATATATTTCAGGTATAATTAGACACTATAACATTTTTTATCATTTGGTTAAAGAGAATTCCAACACATGAGATTTGTTGTAACATGTCCCGTGACAATAAGATGAAGGGTCTCCTTAAAGGGTTGAAATTTATTTCTCAGATATTTGGTATATAAAGTTAATATTTCTCTCTTATTATTACAATTTAATCATTTTACAATTCTCATATATTTAATATTATACCACTAATTAATATACTCGTTTTGTAGATAGTAATGAAAAAGAACCAGAAATTGAGATTGGTGGTCCCACAGATGTAAAGCATGTGGCACATATTGGATGGGATGGTCCTACTGAAAATGCTCCCAGCTGGGTAACTCTCTATTCACTCAATGCTTTCAATGGTTGATTTAACATAATAAAACTTGTTAAATATTATTAACAACTTAATCTTTCTTTGTCAAACTTTAAAGATAATTGTGAGTCATTTGTGTGTAAAATAATTGATAATTTTTTTCTTCTTTTCAGATGAGTGAATATAATTCTGTTACAGGGCTTTCGTCATCAGCACCTCTAAATATGAATGGAGATAGAGGAACTGATGATTCAGAGAATTGGGTCGCTCCAGGTATGTGTTATATTTCATATATTATATAAAGGATTCTCCACATTCATGCATTTATGATATTAGTGATTGTTCAATTACTGATATTCTGAATCCTGAATTCGTGAATGTGACATATCATGATCGTAGAGAATCTAAATTATATAACTATTTGGTTTGAATTTTCATCTATTTATTTATTTTTGTTGAAAATGTTTTTAATTCCTATATAGAAACAATAAAAAGAGGTTCAAGGTCAATGCATCTTGAAGAGAACACACATGAGTTACCTTTACCTAAATCATCTAAGAATCAACCACATTCAACTAGAAACTTAAGAGAGTCACATGCAAAAGAAAAAGCAGACAAACCAAGACAACCAAAAAGGAACTCAAAACGTTCAACATCAAATGATGCTTTAAATGAATCCAACCTCACAACAAGAGAACAACCTATACCAATGGATACAGATTCTCTCCAACTCCAAAAAACTAGTGATGATAATTTGCCACCTAAGATCCAATCAGACAACCCTAAAAGGACTAATTACAAGAAAACAAAAGATGTTCAAGGTGTTAGTGGATCATCCAAATCTAGATTAAAATCTCAACATAAAGAACACAATTCCAACGAAGACACACCTTCAATATCATGTTCCAAATCTAAGGATCAAATTTCCAATGAAGAGATAGGTTCTAAATCTAAAGAACCTAAGTCTAAAGAAGGATCTCATTTGAGGTCCAATGAAGGACGACGTCATTCAAGACCTGATTCCAAACCTAAAACGAAGCATAGAATCAATGAAGAAGATGGACAATTTGAGAGAGAATCTAGTGAAGATATATTGAGAAATTGTCCAAATTAGATAAATTTTGTACTACTAACTGGAATACTCAGTTATTCCAAAAAAATTGTAATATATCTTAATGTTCTTCCTAGTTAAAAATATTACTAGTAATGTATAGATATATTTATAGAACACTTTGTAAATGTTGTTAATGTATTATACTACACTTGTCTCAATAATCAATAAAATAACTGCATATATTTTCACTTGGAGACCTTTTCTTCTTTTTTATTACACTTTTTGCAATGGTTGCACATGTGTAATGTTTAATCCATTATAGAAAGAAAAAAAAATATTTTTCATGTTATTTATTATTTCTCATTTTATATAAATGAAAAAAAATCAAGCTCCATCATTTCCTTGTTCACTTCATCTCTTAGAAAATGGAATCTCCTTTCAACATGTTTGCATATTCTATGACTTATTGCAATCTTTTCTAAATCAATTGTTGACATATTATCAACAAGAGTCTTCATTCTAACAATTACAATGGTCTTAAATGTTGTAAGTAGTATTTCAATCCACCATAATTTTCAAGTTGTAAATGAGGTTGTAACATACTTTGTCTCACATGATGATAAAGTAACTATTGGATGGAAATAAATCATGGAATTTGGGAAGATTCTAGAATTTGGTAAATGAGAGAGTTGTCAACATAACGGATGAAAAGCTGCCAAAGGAATTAGAGTTTTCACTCATGTGTGTACTATACTATCATAATACTTGTAATATCTTCAAAGAAAGCAAATATGATTTATTCATGGACCAAGGTTTATGGATAATTCAAAAGGATCTATGGACCAAAAATGAATATTAAAATTGAAAATGCCTCTTATAAAAGTGTCTTGGAGTCTAGGAAAATATGTAGAAAGAAGGAGATGAACTATATTTTGGTGATTAAATCACATGTGTGTATGATTGTTTGTAATATTCTATAATCATGGAAACATGCTTGTATAGTAGGGAAATGATATGGAAACAAAGATATGTATATGCATGTATGTTTCTTGATATAATTATGTTTATGCAATTATTGCCTTATAAATATCATGTTTTATGCCATATCACATCATTGGAATGAGATGGCATGTGTGCTATAATGGAATAGCTTGAATTCAGTTCAATTATCCAACCCAGTCATAAGGACATGGATGCGCCTTATGTTACAAAATGTGTGCTTAGCATTAGAAGCATGATGAGTAATAAAGTAAACACCTAGGTTAATAATAATACCTAATGTATGTGAATTACTTAAAATGAAAAATGGTGAGTGATAACCTAAGATATATTTATGGGTGAGTGAGCCACCCTAAGATATAAAGTAATCTTAGTGACTAACGAGAAGGTTAAGTTAATTCGTTATCCCCTGATTTTATAAACCTCGACTAGATAAGTCCCAAAAGTAGGATTAAGAGTGATTATGGTCCTCATATGCCGCTTGATTAAGGGTTCCATATGCCTCTGGAGAGTGGTTAGCCTTCAAAGGAGATGGAACAGAATCACTTAGTACTTACTACTTGAGGGAAACACATAGAGGTTTACTCAATCATATTGCAATTGTGAAGTTGTGAAGCTTTCGTCAATAGGACGTGCATTAGTTGAGAATGTAGTGATTTTATGGGTGAATATGATAGTTACCATGTAAAGCTGAGTGAACCCATAAGATATGGGAACCCGCTGTGATTTAGTAATATCGTCCCATATTATTAATTATCTTTCAGGTACATTTTAGAAGTTGGAAATTCGCTAAAAGGATTGGATTAGGAGCTCTGGTGACTTGATGGCATGAAGACTCTGCCTGATTATTTTCTCTTGTGTTTATTCCTCTATATTTGTATTTGACATTCAGTTTTATACATAACTTATTTGTAATTTTTGTAATGTATTCGTTTTGAAGGGTCTATTATTAGTCTTTGTATGTACTCAGTATCAAGATTTTAATATTTTGCTGATATAATGATAGATGCATATTGGTAGGGTATTACAGTTGGTATCAGAGTAGGTCGATCCTTGATCCAGCCATGAGACATCACTAGCAACTTATTTCTTCCTCATATGTGTGTGTTTCTAGGCTGATTTCTAATGTCATAGTATTTAATTATTGAGTTTGATCAACTCACTAACTTTATATTCGATGGGCATGACCACGGCATAGCCGCCGCGAGGACGTGTTAACTGGAAGTGACTCAACCTCAAGTAGTGGAATTGGTAGAGTAATGAAGTGATGAGAAGTGGGGTATGGATAGTGCAGCTTATGCGAGGGGGTCGAAAGTCTCAAGCTCGATGGCAGAAGCCAAGGAAACGAAATTTTTGAGGTTTCTACCAGAATAAGTTGGACCTTTCAAATGACCTATATGAGAAAGGAACCAGTCAGAGAGAGGGAGAGAGAGAGAGAGAGAGAGAGAGAGAGAGAGAGAGAGAGAGAGAGAGAGAGAGAGTAATTTAACATATAAGACTAGATGGTTGAGGCATACCATGTAGTGGAACCGAGTCACATGGCGAGGATTTTTCCTAAGCGGGAATCCAAGGAAGAATCCAGCGAGGGAACTTTATGAGAAGACCAAGTGCAGAACCAATTGGGATTTTGTATCTTATGGTTGTTGTCAGATACAAATAATAACTTGTGGACCCATTGGATGAGGTTTTAAAGTGTTGAGACAGAGAGACCTAGGGAATAGAAAGCGCTAAACCTAGAATGAAAACAGGGTTGTAAGCACAAAATCTGTCAAATAAACTCTGAAGTCTACCAAGAATAAAGAAAATTTCAAATTTTATTATATGAAAGATAATCCTTATGGTCAGGCCAACAACCTTTAAATACAGAAAACAAAGAAACCATAATGGGTTGGGCCTTTAATAAAAAACAAAGTTAAATAAGACAAATAAAGTAGAAATTGCTTAAATATTAAAATAAAAATTTCTTAAATATTAAAATGTTTTCCGACGCGCGATTTCTTCTTCGACACACGCGGATAACCTTCCTACATCAGTCTCTTCCACCTTTGAAGAACTCGACCCCGAGTTCTCTTCTTAATACTCATGAATGTAAGAAATGTTAAAGGTATTAGATATATTTATGGCATCTGAGAGGGCTACCATATAAGCATTATCATTGATCTTCCGGGTCACTTTGAATGGTCCATATTATGTGGTTGCAGCCTGCTGTAAGTACCAATCGGAAACCTCTGTTTGTGCAGAAAAACCATCACATTGTCTTATACATTGAAAAGTTTGACTCTCTTGAGTTTGTCACCAACTGCTTTATTCTTCTTACCAGTAGCCTCTAACTTAGCCATGATAGCTTCTTTAACGGTCACCATTTCCTTGGCCATATTCTTAGCAGCCACACTAACTTCAAACGCCTTAGGAAACTTAACTAAATCAACCAAATGCGTAGGAATAGAAGTATAGACTATGGAGAATGGTGATTTTCCTGTAGCTAAATGCACTGCGTTGTTGTAAGCAAAATCGGCCTGAGGTAAAACAAAATCCCATTGTTTCGGCTTGTCACTACAAACACCCCAAATCATATTTCCCAAAGTTCTGTTGGTTACCTCAGTTCGGCCATTTGTTTGAGGATGAGTTGTAGAACTTGTTGTCTCTCTTTTTAAGTGTCACATGCAAGTATACATGTTTTGATTGCAATAAGTAATAAATATAAGAGTATCATACCCACATGGAGTGCTATTACTTAGATTTGATTTTCATATGAAAACTATTTTTTGATTTAAGCATGAGCAAAGAGAAATAATGATTGGTGATTATAAATTCAAGTTCACTTAAAACAAATGTCAAAATTATGGTGAAAAGTAGTAAAAATATATTAAGATTGATTGAGTTGAGCTTTTTTCCACTAATATCTTTAGTGTACATATGTACTAATGTTGTGTGGTGTCGTGAGAGGCAAGGTCAGAGTGATCTTGTGGTGTATTTCTACAACATCCAGAACATGCATAAGAGGGCAAGGGAACAAATATCTAAGCCTCACTTGTAACCCTAATATATGTCTTTCAATTATTTTTAATTCCTTAATGATTGCAGTTTCTTATCTCTAAGTAAACTAGGTCAAGTGAATATCTCTATCCCACTATTTCAACCATTTTTACTCAAGAAATAAACTTGTTGTTGGATCTCTCTCAACAACAAGTTGTTACTTATTTCTAAGTTGATCATTAAAAGAAACAAGTTTTTTAACAAAACAAACACATAGTAAAGCAAGCACTAGAAACACAACATATAACATAAAAACAACTTGATATTAACTTCACATTGCTCAACTACAAAAGGTTTAGCTCATTGTGAGCTGAGTACAAGATACAAACATGGTTATCAAAGGAAACATCTTAAGACAATAAATTAACAAAATATATAAACCTAAGAGAGACTTGGAGGAAGGTTTGAGATGATTAATATTTAAAAGATGACTCTAGTCACACCACTGCTCATCAGCTGGTATAGGATTGGATGAGAACATAAGACTCTCTCACACCTCCATTTTCCACGTGCTCAAAATCTTGTAATAATATCTTGGAACAATATAACCCCCTTCAATCTTCATCCCAACTCTATTTATAGACCAAAGATTAGGGTTTGTATGTTTCATTGGGTCATGGGCTTGTGTTCAAGAAATCACATCAAGGCCACATAAAATTAACGCCAACACACAATTTTGCAGCTTAGCAAACAAGGCATCTTCGTACAGGGAGAGAATGGTGGGAGACAAGCTGTAGTGTGGAAGACTTCCACAGCAGGTGCAGGCGGCGTGCTCTGCCATTTGTAATGTACTATTGTACCCACTTTTTGTCTTCTAGCGCCTACACTCTCTTCTTTGAATTTGAATAGTTTTCTCCTCTTTTTCAGTACAACCAAGTTTTCCCTTCAATTAGCTCTTCTTTCCATGCTATCCTCATTATCCAGCAGCTTCCATTATTTTTTCCATTGGTCTAAGTTCCCTCAATTTCCTTCAGCTTGTGCTCCAAGCAGCATACCACTGCAGTCTTGCCTCAACTCGACCCTAC